GAGAGAGAGAGAGAGAGAGAGAGAGAGAGAAAGAAAGAAAGAAAGAAAGAAAGAAAGAAAGAAAGAAAGAAAGAAAGAAAGAAAGAAAGAAGATAATGTACGAAAGTCTGCAGGGGAGTAAATTTTCTTTTGGCCCTTCACCTTAGAAATATGGAAAAACTGTTATAAGAAATTGATTAGAATAAATTAAAAAATTGCTGAGCAAGAAACATTTTTACAACAGAATTCATGCTGTTTCCTGCCCTCCTTTCCCTTTCTATCCATTTCTATTTTTATTAAAGAGAAATTTAAACAACTGGCCCTATGTTTCTAGTAAATTTGGGAACTCCAGATCACAGCTCACTTTAAGAGTGTCTTAAAATAGTATCCACATTTGTTTCTAGAATCAACTGGCAAAGGATCAAGAGTACGGTCCTTTGAGAAAACCTTCCTGACAACCAGGCAACTCAAAACACCTTCATGTATAATATCACTGATTATCAGGGCATCAGTGTGACTTACCTCTCCCAAGCCATCAGTGGAGTTATTTTGCACAATCACGGGTCTTTCTGGCTTAGCTTAAAGACAAATAAAACATGATTAGAGGCTCTGAACACCATCCATCCTGAACAATTATGTGTTCTGTGAAAGACATTCATCAAATATTTATTAAACACCCACTTTATTCTAGATACCTAGAAACAAGAGTTCATGGAGCATAATCACTCTCTTCGAGAAATTAGCATTTTCATCGAAGATACAAGTATACAAATAAGAAATTATAATACATTGAGATAGACACCATGATTAAAGACATGTGAAGTTTGTTAGAAACTGGAAAACAATCTCCATATCCAATCTAAGAGGAAGATTCTGGGAGATACAGCAACTAACAGAAAAATGATTAGACTGAATCCAGAGAAACTGGAAAAGTGGAGGAGGGGAGGAGCATAGGTGGTGACAAGGAAGAAAAGAAGTGTTCGTACATCCAAAGGACCAGAAATAGAATGCACTTTGTAGACTGCTCAAAAGGTCAGCACAAACACTTGATATTTGTTTGATTGCTTGATGCTAGAAAATTACCAGGGGATATTTCAGTGCTTTTGTTGTCTTCCAGGTAGATAGAAAGAGCCTGAGAGTCAGGCTGTGTTATTCATCTCTCCACCTCCAGCACCTAATAATGCCCAACTGACAGAAGACATTCAGTAAATCATGCTGGACAGAAATGGTTTCCAATAAACTCTTGTGTACAGAGGACAAAGCCTTCTTCAGAACTGTGGGGAAAATATTAAGGTCCCCTATAATGTTGCTCACAGTGACTGCTGAATCCTCTGCATTTACTCTATCTACCAAAGGCTTCTGACTCTGTACAAGGATTTGAGGGGGTGGGAATGGGAGTGTGAGTGGGAAGTGGGTCATGAAAACACACTTAGCTGTCAAGTAGGGCAGTCAGGAAGTCCTGGAGAGATAATGGCAACATTAAATGGCACCATGCTGGATCAAAATCCAGCAGCTCCTTGCCCTTCATTTGAGGTAACTCTGAGGTATGTTCTAAACTGTCTTTCAGAGTTTCCTAGTGGAACTGATCACCAGGGTAACTGGCTTGACAAGGTACATTCTGTTCTTCTTCTTTTTCTCTTGCTTTGCTTTCTCATTCCCCCTCTTATTTCTCCAAAATAAATTGTTCAAGTCCTTGACCAATGTTCTCTTTCAAAGAAAACCAACGCAGCTCTAAAACACCCGTGGTTTTAGGCGTCTTTCTGTTTCCCTATTAGCAGATAAACACTAGCAGAATGGAGAGGCTGAAAGAAAAGACCATCACTACAAGTTTCAGGGCTGATAAGGAGGGCAGGTTCTTTTTGAGGCACAGGAAAATCAGATTGAGAGCTCAGGTGTGAGGCATAATAACCTTGTGATGGACAGCTGACTCCCACCCAACAGGGTGACAGTGACCAGAGAGGACCAAAGTCGTGGAGAAGAAGCTAGGCTCTTGCACTGTTAAGAGAATGAAGAGTTGATTAATGAGTCATTGTTGGGGAGGAAGAAGTAATCAGGGTTTAGGGCATATAGAATCCCTGGCCTTCCACAGAAGAGATTGTGATTTGCTTCCTGGCCAAGCCTCCTGATGCACAGCCACCACTCATCTGTCAGCAGAGGCTTGCATGTTGCTGTGATCCTGAACAAGTTTCAGCAGAGATTCCAGACTGACATAGATTAGGAAGAAAGCTGGCCTTTCTTCCTAAGTAAACAACTCTTTGCTTGAGCCACTCTCACCTTTACAAAGGACAAGGTGCAAGATTCCTTTCAAAATACTGAACTGCATGAACTCTGACAATAAAATAGGATTCTAAGTGGAAACAAGGATTCCTTTTTTTTTTTTACACTCATTCCATTATTTAGGGAAGAGAGGAAAACCTAACTACCTCATGCCCTTAGGTTTCACGCAGTTGTTTTCTCATTGTTTATCTCATTTTCAAAACCCATTAACTGCGTATCCAAATTGCTACTTTACTCTCTGCTTTAGAAATGATTTTTTAAAATAATGAAGTTCTTGCTTACAGAAATGAGAAAAATATTGAAAGCCAGAGGCTTTGTTTATTAATATTTTCTTGCATCACAGAGCAAAACGGAGTTTTCGCATTTCCCACATTTCCCCCAATCTGCATCCTACAGAATCTCTGCCTTTTGATTCAGGATACTGTGGTTGTTACAGGTCATTTCCTCACTCCTCAGGAAGCACGGTAGAGGGCTGGCTGTACCATTCCCAGACCCTCTTTTACTGGACAGTCTCTCACCCCAGCTGGCCCAGGTGCTTAGGAGACTATTAGACTCCTTCAGAGAACATCAGTGTCTTCATCTTCTCACATTGCCACCTACTGTGCTGCTTCTGCAAGCAAATTGCTGTTAGGTGTCATAGAGTAGACACATGGCTTAATGAAACCAAGACCGTCCAGTTAGACTTTAGTTATTATATGTAAAGAGATTGCCAGTACAATTAAGGAATATTGCAGTTGCAAATAAGGTAGCAGAACTAAACAATGACACTGCCATCAAGTTGATTCAGGTTCATAGTAACTCAAAGGTAGAACATTAGTTGATGAGAACCAGACTACCAGCGGTTAGAGGCCACCAGCTGCCTCGTGGGAGAAGAATGAGCAATTTCTCCCCTTGTGATTCACTTCCTCTGAAAACCCACCAGAGGGTCAGCTATGGGTTAATTCCAATTCTATCGTTCACAACAAACAAAGCCATCTTTGTAATGCAACAACAGTATAAACTATGGCACCAGTTGTTGTATATCATAGAGTTGGTACTGACCCATAGCTGGCCCTTCCAGCATGTTTTCAGTGACAGTAATTGTGCGGGAGAAAATTACTCATCCTTCTCTCATAGAGCAGCTGGTGGATTTGAACCATGTGCCTATGGGATGGTAGCACAGATTCTTACAGATAAGCTACCAGTACTCCCTATGTAGTCACTAGGAACCTGGATGATACTTGGCTTGATGCAGGTTCCTAGGTGATACAAAGCATTAACAATAGTTGTTCACCTAAATGTTGGTTGTTCCAGCCAATTCGGCCAGTGGTGCCTGAACAGAAAAGCCTAGATGAGCTGCTGCTTTAAAGATTATAGCTAAAAAAATTTCTACACATAGCAGTTTGACTCAGAAGGTCATGAAGTCACCATGAGATAGAATCAACTCAATGACAACTAAAAAGGCGTTGTTTATGATTTTTACTGTATTAACTGAATTACCATTCTGTAGTTGGCTACCTTTGTCTCCACTTGTCAAGATGACAAGTATCTGGTCTCCTTGGTGACTGCTCTCCAGTGTGTCAGAGCATCTCCTCCCCAGAGAGGAGAAAGGACAGAAAGAGGGATGGTAGCACATACAAGAACTCAGAGCCTTACCAAAGACTTTGACGGTGGTGGTGCTTGTCAAGGTTTTCCCCGGCCTGAGTGTAGCATGGCAAGAGAATGTATGGTCATCATCCTGGATTTGGACTGAAGAAAGGTAGAGCCCGTAGTCTGCACCTAGCTTGATTCTGTCTTTAAAAACTGTGGAAGTGCTGATGGTGTGATCTTGAGTGAAAAGTATTTCCTGAGTTCCATTACCCTCCTGTGAAGAAAAAAAATTTACAGTTATTAAACTTTCACCTGTGTGCCAGCTCTGGACTAATTCTTCTTCTTCTTTGAAAAAGAAAAGAATATGAGTAAAGTCTTTACACTCTACCAGATAAAGTAGCACACTTGATGTTTGGTTAAATATTGTTGTCCTCCTTTTTTGGCATGAATAGACACTGTCTGCTTTTCTAATCATACTATTCACCTTCATAACTTCTCCTCTGGGTTGTGAGAGCCTCTCATTAGGGAGTTCTAAAGACTTAATGCTAAGATATATTGAGGATGCTTTATCATATTGGATTATTAAATCTCCATATAAACTGAAAAATTATGTAGTCTTCTCCTGCCAATACTCCTTCAGAATGGTTGAAATTTTAGTTACTCTTAGAACGAGAACTATCGTGAAGCAAAGAAGTAAATAGAGTCCACATTTAAGGAAACACTGACTTTCAAAGTCTTTTAACTATGGGATTAGCACCTGAGAATGTGCATCTCCTTACATGTTGCCTCACTGGGGTGGTACAAAGTTATAGGCTCTTGACTACTGATGAGAAAGATGGTAAGTGGAATCTTCCCAGCAGCACTTTGAAAACGAGGCCTGGATATTTGTTTCTGAAATGTCTTGAAAGACCTACGGGTCTCAGTTCCACTGTGCACACACACCATGAGTTAGACTCAACAAATATGGTTTGTCTTTGGTTTGAAAGAGTCTCTTTACCTCCTTACACCCCCCTAGTCACAGTTCCTGGCCTTTATCTTCACACTGCCTTCAAAGAGGATGCACTACAAAGAAGAAATGGTAAATATTGTTAATTTTGTTTGGAAGACCAGAATTTATTTAGTTAGTTCCTTGTTCCACATACTTTCCTTAGTCTATGAAGGGTTTTTAAGCCAGTTGTGGAGTGATTCCAGCTCACTGCAACTGTACAGGAAAGAATAGAATTGCCCCATAGGGATTCCAAGGGTATAAACATTTATAGAAACAGACTGATATTCAATGAGTGACTGGTTGATCTGAACTACCAACCTTTCACCTAGCAGCTGAGTGCTTTAGTTACTGTTTAACCAGAGGTTCTCTATGAAAGAAAGCCCCTGCCCAGAATTGCCATTGAAGCGGTCCCTGGAGAGTCTCAGTGTTGGATAATGTTAGCAAATGTGTCAAAGGCCCAGTAAGAAGGGGCTTGGAGAGTGGCTCACAGCTGGAGGAAGGATTCAGCCCTTATACTTTGTAAAAAGAGCAAGGATAACAAGGGAAGAGCCATATCTGACCTCTGCTAACTCCATAAAGGGGATCTTCCCTCATCAATAACATCCACAGTACAAATAAGCTTAGACATGGCCCTTTTTGCTTCTACACCTACTTCTACTAATTCCAGCACTAATCTTACTGCCTATTGGATCCAAAATCCGTTGCAATAACTACACAGACTAAAACCATATTCATGATTATGGGGTTTATTAGGGAAGTTAACAGGCTATATACTTCAGGTTGGCAAACAGGATACAATTTCTTAGTCAGGACACTGTCTGAAGGTGGGCTCATAGGCCTTTAAGCCTTCAGCCTTGCAGCTTCATGCTAGCGCTACAGAGCTCACTTAGTCCTGCCAATTGTGCCTTTTCTTATCATCTTACCCTCTACATGAATCCTCTAACAAGCTTGGATGAAGACTCCTAGCTCTGGTTCCATGGGGTAGCAGTCCCAAAAGCAGCTCTATTTCACACTGAGTCTCTGGTTCTCTGCCATGACTGTTGCTGTGCTCCTGTAGGCAGCAATCTGAGTGACACAGGAATCTTTGGTCCTGAAGAACATGTGGTACATTCTCTACTGCTTCTTTGCTGGGGCTAAGATTCACAAAACCTGACACTAAATCTGCTTAACTCAGCGGCAAGGCTAGCCAATTCCTTTTGGACAGGCTAACACATTCTATTTGCATGTGCCTGTCCGTGCAGGTGGCAAAAGTCAATGTCAATCAGTGGATGTTGTTGTTAGGTGCCCTCGTGTTGAGCATGGCTCATCATGACTCTATGAACAAACAGATGTGAACCCTGCCCTATTGTGTGTTATCTTCATCATCTCTGACATGCTCAAGTTCATTGCTATAGTCACTGTGTCAATCCAGATCATTCAATGATTCCCTCTCTTTCACTGATTATCCATCCTTCTAAGCATGATGTTCCTTTCCAAGGAATAGCTTCTCTTTGCAACATACCCAAAGTATGTGAAATAAAGCTTTGCCATCTTTGTCTCCAAGAAGCATTCTGGCTGTATTTTCTCCAAGACCTATCTGTCTATTCTTTTGGCAGGCCTTGGGGTATTCATTACTCCTCTCCAACAGCACAGCTCAAAAGCATAAATTATTCTGCCACCCTTATTCACAATCCAGGTCTTAGATGCATAACAAGTAATTGAAAAGACAATGACCTGAATCAGGCATACTTTAATCTTCAAATTGATGTCATTACTCTTCAGTAGTTTGGAGAGGCCCTTGACAGCAGACTTATCCAATACAATACATCTCCTGACCTCCTGACTGCTGATACCAAGGGTGTTAATTGGAGATCCAAGAAAGATAAAATAATTGACAATCTTTTTTCCCCATCCATCATGATGTTGACACAACCCTGCTTGCTGAAACTGAGGAGGACCTGAAGCGCTTGCTGCAGAGGGTCAAGGACTGCAGCCTTCAATATGGATTGAGGCTCAATGTCAATAAGACAAAGATTCTCACCACTGGGCCAATCAGCAGCATCAGGGTGGATGGCGAAGAGATTGAGATTGTGAACAACTTTAGTCTGCTTGGCTCCACAGTCAACAGTCTTGGCATCAGTAGTCAGGAAATTAAAAGGCGTATTGCCATGGGAAAGTCTGCTGTTAGGGACCTCTCCAAAGTACTGAAGAGCAATGGTGTCTCTCTGGAGCTAAAGTGCATCTGATACAGGCTACGGTCTCTGAAATCACTTGCTATGCATCAGAGAATTGGACAATGACTAGGGAGCATAGAAGGAGAATTGATGCCTTTGAGCTGTTGTGCTGGAGAAGAGTATTGAGGGTTCCATGGACTGCTAAGAAAACAAACAGAATCATCCTAGAGAGGGTTAAACCAGGCTGCTCCTTGGAGGCAAGGATTCTGGGGCTTCATCTGACATACTTTTGACATGTTGTAAGGAGGGACCGGTCCTTGGAGAAGGACATCATAGTTGGTAGGGTGGAGGGACAGCGCAGGAGGGGAAGGCCCTCTATGAGGTAGATTGATTCAGTGACTGGGATGATCAGGATGGGTGTGTCAGAGGAAGTGGGAATGGCACAATATAGAGCAGGGTTTAAGGCTGCTGTACATAGGGTCGCTATGAGTCGCAAGCAACTTAACGGCACATAACAACAACAACAACATCATGATGTTGCTTAGCCATCCATTGGTGATATTTTTTGTCATCTTGAAGTTGAGATTCAGTCCATATTGAAGGTTGTAGTGTTTGATTTTCTGTAGTAAGTATTTCAAGTCCTCTTCACTTTCTTTTTTTTTAAAATTTATTATTAATTTCAGTGATAGTAAAAAAAAAAAATTCAGTGATAGTTTACAGAGACTTTGGATTTCCACTCATTCATTGTTGCGTTTTTCTCCCCTTCCAACCCTCCCCCTTAGTACACTACTCTCTTGGAAAAGTAAAAGAAAAATTCTTTCATTGTTTTATCCTTTTCACTTTCAATATGCAAGTTTGTGTCTACTGCAGGAAAGTCATATCAAACAATAAACCCTTGACACCAGATAACTCTTCAGTATAACTGAATATTCTCAGATTCAGTAAGAGCATTCACGTTCACAGGCTCGTGATTCTAGTTCAGTTGGCCTGGAGTAAGTTCCTAATTGGGAATTTATGTTTGAAAGACTTCAAGGAGTCAAGACTAAGAACCACTGGTCAGATTCTTCATTAAACAACAGATGCTTCATGGAGTGCAGGTACTAGGGAAATTGAAGGAACTGGAGTAGAGAAGGAAGAACAGGGAAAGAAGAAGTAACAAAATTACATGGGAAAAAAAAGTGACTTGGAATCTCCAGTTCAAGTAAATTGCTTCCACAACTACCACACCCTTCTGAATCTTACATGGTAGAGTCAAGTAGCTAACAGCAAGCTTGTGACTTTTTTTGCTGATCAATCTGAGGGACTCATCTTCCAGCACTATGTCAAACAATGTTCTGCTGCTACATATAGAGTTCTCAAAGGTCTGTTATTTCAGAAGTGATTGGCCAGTCCTTCTCTTAATCTGGAAGCTCCTCTGAAAACTGTCTACCATGGGTGACCTTGCTGATATCTGAAAATTTTGGCTTCCAACTTACTAGCGTCACAGCAACATGCAAGACACTGCTGTACAGCAAGCTGACCCATAAGTGGTAGATGATAAGTAATACCTGTAAAGAATCCACACACAGATAAAATCTTACTAGTCTGAGAAGAATGGGAATCCCAGCACACTTGATTATGCTAATGAGAAACCTATACTTGAACCAAGAGGCAGTAGTCAGAACAGAGCAAAGAAACACTGCATGGTTCAAAATTAGGAAGGGCGTACACCAGGGATGTGTTCTGTCTCCATACCTTTTCAACCTGTACGCAGAAGAGATTATCTGGGAGGCTGGGCTCTAGGAGGAGACATGTGGGATCAAGATTGGTGGAAGATCTATCAACAATCTGCGATATGCAGATGACAAAACCCTGCTTGCTGAAACTGAGGAGGACCTGAAGCGCTTGCTGCCGAGGGTCAAGGACTGCAGCCTCCAATATGGATTGAGGCTCAATGTCAAGAAGACAAAGATTCTCACCACTGGGCCAATTGGCAGCATCAGGATGGATGGTGAAGAGATTGAAATTGTTCACAGCGTTAGTTTGCTTGGCTCCACAGTCAACACTCTCGGCACCAGTAGCCAGGAAATTAAAAGATGTCTTGCCATGGGAAAGTTTGCTGTTAGGGACCTCTTCAAAATACTGAAGAGCAGT